AGAGTTGGAGTACGTGGGCTTTTCCCAAGCAGAACCCATGTGTGAGCTTGAGAGAACACCAAATTGTTGCCATCTCGTCAGTTGTGAATTGCGCATCCAGAGTTACTGTCGGACGTGTCATAGCAGAATGAGCACCGATGGTAGACCGTGGCTATCCATAGTTCACCAAACGCCATCGGTTAAGCCGCGTTCGAGAAAGGACACAGCTTTCGGGAATCAATGGGAGCTCACAGTGGCGCAATTTTTTTTACCACATTGGAAGACGAAGTACCCCTATTGATGACTAGATTAGTGTGACGGGTGTCCCTAGGTGTTATGTGAGCTTCGGTAATAAACTCACGTGGTCGTTTGAATGAGACGACACTCACCGCGGAGTTTTATTGCATAGCAACCTGCATGCGGCACACTTTGGTGAAGAGTCAGGTAATAACACCGGAGGCAAATTTATAGAAAAAAGCAGATTTTTATGTACAGGAAATCTTTAATGAACGACAAATGACAGAAGAATACGGTAGTTGGAAGAGAAAGAATAGTTTGGATGCGTATTTGTACAGGCGTAGCGGTAACCCGCCAACTGCAATTTTTGGATAACTTCAACTGTTTCGGTACTCCCTCAAAAGGTCTATGGCTGGAGTGTTGGTCTCCAAGTGAAGCTGATACAGACGCCTGAGCACTCGAAATGCTGCAAGGTTGGCGTACGGAGTAAGTGTGACGGGGTCCAGGTAACGAGCAGGAAGCCCGGTGATGGGACATATTCGCATTATTCGGCGCGGTCGCGGAGCAACTGGAGCGGGGTTGTTCGGGTCGGGCAAGGGTGTGATGGTTTTTGGCATTGAAGCACGAAGGCATTGTTCGTCCGCGAATGTGATCAAATTTCGGCTGCAGCGAGCTGATGGATCGGTGATAATAGGGCCAGCACGAACCGTCGAACTGCAGAAAATGGAGAGTACAGGGGGGCACATGAGACGTGCCAGTGAGATCACCGCACTAGAACGTGAATGGTTCAAGCTACGTGATTCATTGCGCACCTACACCTTGCCTGAATAATATGAGGTCTTCTGGTTCCATGCACTGGAAGTGTGATTTCCCCCTATCCACAAATAGTTCTGCTTAGGCGATACAAACCATGCACACAAAGTCAGAGATCAGAGCTTCTGGGAACATCAACCACTAGAACTCACCAGGCTAACACTATCTACATCTGGTTCTGTTCTCGAACACCAAATCAGAATACAGCAGGTTTCTGAGTTTCTACGTGTTATAGGACATGCTATTTATTCACCCTAGAGCATCCACATATGAGGCTTTCGAAGGGTCCGGGTAACCAGCTGCATCAAAAATCACGCGAGCAATAGAGCTGAACCGATCAAAACAAAGAACAAATGGGATAAGCAATCAGACCTGCCTCCACAATAACGACTTGTGCACCATCTACGTGCGGAAGGAGGACGTCATGGCAACCAGTGGATAAGTGGACAACGATACGAGGCAAACACCGGAAGGGTCACGTGTAGCAAAGTCCAGTGAAAAGCTGGACACGGCTAATAAAAGTACGCAGTCCCCATCGTTACCAACGTTTATATCCGTTTTTGCGTATAAGTGTAAAGGAGGACATTATCGTTTCCGTATGGGTCCCAAGGACAGAGGATAAGTGTAGACAGATTGAACTATGAACAGACTGACCAATTCACACAATATGCAGAACTGGTAGAATATAGCGGCCAATCCGACGTGATCTCCACACATACCTTTGAGGATCGACTGAGACTCCGTACAAATGAGGTTGATCTTCGACCAAAGGTACAGTGAACGAATGGTAACGGATCATGGGGACGGTAGATTTTGATTTTTGGAAATGAACCTTCTTCTTCTCAATTTCCATACGTTGGTACCGAGCTTTTAGAAGGGGGAGAAGGAGGGGCAAGATAGATTTAAAGTTTATACGATAGATCGGGAACATCAGACACCGACAAATGTCGGAAATCATTCAGCCCAATGAGAATGGCAGCAAGACAGCAACTGACCAAGTGGAAATAGGAAACTATCCATTTCAAGTGTGGTTGCGAACACATAACGTAAAGCATGTCAAAGCCATTGAATTCTGGAAGAAAGCAAGGGCGGAACAAGAGCATACATGTCAGAAACTCTGGACTCCCTATGACTTACTAGGTACGGGTCACATAAAAGGAACTCAATAGCCGCGGAAATACTCCAGACTCTAACCACTATCCGGAGGTTTGCATTGAGAAACAACATGCAGATACCAAAGGTGCGATGCATCAGTACTGTCTCCACATTGTTAGAAAAGGACCAAATCAGTGACGTCGTTTGAGAGCTGTAAGGCAGGGAGCTTACTACGCAGCCAGTTTCAGTGTCATCAGTCAAAGTTTCGCCGCTGCTACCAGCCAAATCCAACATCGTCTGCCGATCCACGTGTGGGTGTACAGTCACCTGCCTCGGTAGAAGGGAACGGCAACTAATGCTGAGAGTGCAAGGCAGGCGCCATGGAGAGTGCAAAGACAGCTGGACCGAGCAAATGCACCAGCACAATACCAAGGTCAAACAAGACCACATCTTCCACTGCCGGTCCTGCTAGTTGCCCATGGTCCGACTGACAGCGAGCGTCGCATCGATCCAACGACTACAACTGATATCGTGCTCAGCACAGCAAACAGCAAGACTTGCTGGAGTCTTTGATTTTCAGAGGCAACTGTGGCGCGCTGCTGACGAGATAGCGAAATAAATCCGGAATACGGTGCAAGACCAATCGGCACTCAGAGCATCAGCCCAGGAGGAAAGATTGCCGTATTTCAACGGCTAAATTGTTTCACTTACCTAGCGACCGACGATTTATTTCTTCTGTTAGTTTGGCCTCAGCCAAAAGCTCCTCCTGGGTTAGTCGACGAACTTCTGGCACATTTTTTCGCTGAGCGATTTCTGCCAGCATTGCTTGCCGACGCAATGCAGTGCTGTCATTTCGACGGCTTTTCGATTCTGTTCCCGTAGACTCACTCGTGGAGGGTACCGTTCGCTGTCGCAACACTCGCGATTCTATTGATATGATAAGAGAAAGGGTAACCATGAGGACGGCTTTTAAGTCAGTAGCAAATACAGAGCTTACATCATAGAGAGACACACGTCCATAAGAGGCCCCACATTGCAGGGGTACCTCTCAAAGAACAAAGCATCTATAGAAAAATGATGAAGTGCTGGATTCGTCAAGCTCGTCATTTAAGATCAATACCCAGCTGTCCATCCACCGCATACCCAGTTTGCGCCAACTTGTGTAAATACATAATGATGGCTAAGCTGTAACAAATTTTCCAAGCCTAGCTGCCATACCAAACGGGAAAGAACGAGGGCTAGGGTACTGCCAGGTTTCCCAAGCCTAGACAGGAGCAGTCAACACGCAGAGGTTGAGTTCGAACCACGGATCTTCCAATAAGTAAGTCCGGCCATCTCAAACTTAACTCGTATGTTGTTTGTATAGCCCAAAATAGCTGGAATTTAATGGAAGGACGAAGAAATTCCAAATACCCCGATAACTACGTAACGATCTGACCTAAATCAATGAAGCAGGCACTTTCAATCTACCCAGTGTTAACCGTACAAATAGTGAGAATCGGGTGGAAACATCTGGGTTCCGTGTGTTTAACTTGGGGTGCGAGTAAGCTCTAATCCGGTCACATTGCAAGCTAGTTGGCCTTGGTTACAAGAAAAGCACTACCACATCAGGCTGGCTAATTGATGAGAAGAGAAGAACCAACCAAAGTTGACAGACTCACAACAGCTTTATGAGTTGACACGAAATTTTCAAAGTCACACTGAAACCTTGCGATTCACTGCTTGCCCTCGAATGACCCAAAACAGCAGAATCGCCGATGGATGTAGATAGCACGTGATGTGGCGAAGTTGTCTGGATTGCCGATCGTACTCTTGCGTAAGAGTACATTACAGAAACGTAAAGTTTAAATGAATCGATCTGTTGCTGAGACTACAAGCCGAACTAAGGAAACTCAAACAGAAACGAACGCACCAAAGAAGAATACCTTCACATAGGGGTAAAATGAAGAAAGACACATACGCACCGAATGTAGCCACCTCACCCTCTGTAGAACCGGTGGCTTTTTCTTTTATAGTGGATTTTGGTTTTGGCTCCGTCTGTTCATCAATTTGTTGGGCCGTCGACTTTGAACTCTCTGTGGGTTTGGACCGTTTCGGTTCCTATGTGGACCAAGGGAAGGACCAATTAGCATGCAAGATCTGAGGCTGGTTCAGCTACCGTATTTGAAGCGTAAGACATCTCTATTTGTTGAGTTCTGAGCCTCGACGGTCAGAACAGAAATGGGGAACTGACAAACGAGCAACAAAGGTTATGAATGCGAACCCAGGGACTGTATGGCTGATGATCCGAACTGCCCGATTGATGGGCATATCGACGGACAGACATTTTTTCAAACTGGATTTTCTAATTAGCGAAATATATTATTCATTTGCAAGTAAATTGGGTTTTACGAGAGACACACCTGGGACCCAGCTGAATGTCTCGTTTGTGATGTTTCCAGGCAACTGAATGTGCTGCACTAGGTCGCCTCATGTTTTAGTTGGCACGATGTTCGAGATATCGCGATACACGTATATTAGTAATGCATTACTCACAAGGTTGCTGAAAATTCGCCGACAGCCCACGACCGGTTTCGCCCTTCTTGAGGCTCACCAGGTAGGCGCAGTCCCCGAGTTTCCGTCAACCTTATGTTCTGCTTGGAACCAAATTGCACGAAAGTGGCGAAATACACTCATTCGCAAACAATTTTGGTTTTGCGAGAGGCTCACCTGGAACTGAATCTCTCGTTTGTGGTGTTTGCAAGCAACCTTATGAGGAGTACATTAGGTATGTAAAGTTTCCCATTTTGAGGTACTCATTGTACGCGAGTTTGTATGAAGTATAATTGGATAGAATAATACTGTGACCCTATAGGCCTCGATATGCTGTTAAACAGACAAAAACGTGCATGATGGAAGCGTTGGATTCTCACAGGACTGAAGGCCACTGATGTTAAGATGCCAAGAAAATGGAGCGTACGGAAACCGCCATGTCGCAAAAGTGACCATCGGCTGAAAGAAACATATGCAGTCGGTAACGTGGTACATCAAGTACGACCGGATGAGAGAAAAAATGGATCAGCTGCAAAGGAAAGTTGCTCCGTGAAAAACGTCTAGCCAAATTTACGACATGCCTGCATATATTATGTGCTAGATGACTGGAAATCACTCAACCGTTCACTATCCAGTACCTGCTTCTCTGACCTCAAGATTGCTCAGTGCTTAGGGCGCGAACTTATTGACCGGAAGGTCACGCCTCGAACTCAACCTCGGCATTTCGACTGCTCCTGTCCAGGCTTGAGCAACCTGTCAGTATCTCACCCCTTCTGCTGCCTTCGGCATTAATGGTAGCCAGAGTCCAAAAGGGTGCTTCCAAGATACGTAAGCTTTCGATTACCTCCGTGTCACTCCATGAATTCTGATGAGCGTGTTCCGAAACTGTTCTTCCTGTAGCATGGCTTTGCATTTTGTGGGTGCAAAGCACCAAACTGAAAGCCTGGTCAAAGTACTAACGCTAAATTTGTTCGAGTGGGACAACTCCTAAATTTTGTACGTTGTTCACCTGTGTACACAACTGTCACTACTTACCAGCAGCGCCAATGGGCTGCACGGGAGATCAACAAACAGAACGGAAATCTACTGAGACTTTCAAGAGTGTGGATCAGATACGCATGATATACCACTCCAATTTGACACTGGTTCGTTTACCGACGACAATTGTCTGTCCTATGCATCCGACCTCTGGTTGAGCTTTCGTGCCTGACACACACACATGGCTTATAGTCGGGAATGAACAGGAAAACCACAGTTGATCAACCCATCAGCACACTCATCACCACCATATGAACACCCATACGCCGGTACTGAATGCTCGTGGCTCACTGCCGTACATCTATGGATGAGGAAGGCCGCAATAAAGAGAAAAGGAAGGGGTAGTGGTAGTGCACGAAAGCCATGTCCGTAGGTAATACGATGTCGTAAGGTGAGAAACAAACCTCTATCTATTCATTCATGGTTCAGGGCTACACATTCGAAAGAAAGTGAAACGAATATATCTGAATAACATGTCATCAGAGGACTTGACCCAGCACCTTTTCAGATCTCATCCAAGTCAGGCGTATCATGAGAGTGGGGCTTTAGCTAGCCAGTCCGGTGACGAAATGACGGCATGTCTGCCACTGGGAACGGATAGGCTCTACATTCTACAAGCTTTCCAACCATGAAAGGTAGGTTACGTGTACCCTAGCTTGGAGAACGGGAAGATCCTACAGTGCTCAGCCATATAGCTTCCGTTTGAACCCCATACTGTTGTGTCATGCCCCGATCGCTCCCCTCCCGCTAATGTGGACTGCAAAGCAGTGCGTTCTCGGGGAGACGGTAGCTTGGAATATGTACCACATATCTAATCCACCTTGATCTGGTAAGCTCAACGCGCTGCCCTAACGATTCGGATGCGTTATGAAGTACTCGCTAGTTTACGGTGATTGCAGAATACTCCAAACAACTTTTCCTGTATGAAAATCGTTCAATTGTACTACAGTTCATCAGTATGACCACCAATTCAACCCAGGCGCCCGTTGTCACAACAACGAGATCGTCGAATGTACAGTGGTGTTTTGAGTTGCCATGGCATCCGGATTGCGACAATCTGGAACAATGCCAGGTGATGGATGTTGCGCAGAAACTGGGAAGCTGAACACTGCTCACATCATGCCAAACGGGGTGTTGTTCGGAGGAAGGAGGATAGTGGAGACAAACAAATCCGTTGTAACAGCGACAGAACACACCCAATAGTCGCGATTGCTGCAAACTTTACAGACCTGCTTTCGATAGCCGGTAACCGGGCAACGAAATAAACAGCGACAACATAGCACTTGAATAGGAAAAATACCGTGATTACGCACATTTATAAACAAAGTCTGCGCTCTGAAATATTTTCACGATTAGGATAAGGCGTCAGAACGGTCAGCTAGGGAAATGTGATATGGTGGGGATCTAGCGGTCCGGTAGTCAAATAGATAAACCAGTGGGTTACCATTTCAGAGATTCGAGAGTCGTACATTTGTTAACCTGTACTCCCTGTACGTTTCCAGTAGTAAAGTTGCGAAAATGCAGTCGGAAATACACTTTTAAAACAATGAGTGGAATATCGCGCAGCTACCGAATTTGACATATTTAATTAGTCCCAGGATGACATCCAGAACATTCAAGGAAAGGAGAGGACGTCATTACACTTATAAAGATGCTATGTACTGTCATCGAGGAGGTTAAAAACGACGATAGTGATCGTCCAATTCTTTTTAAAATCAATTGTGAGAGCTAATATCTCAAATCATCTATCTACCCACTTTGTAGGCCTTCGTCACCACACCTCTGTGTCGGCGTTTCTTTTTATTCTTTGGGCCGTCCTCGTCTTCGTCCGAAGAGACTGTCTCAGATTCCGCTGCGCTCGAATCCACAAAGTCTGAATCGATGATATCTTCGACGGAGCTCTCTGACTGATAGTCGACATCATCGGCTTCCTGGTGACATAAGTACAAAAGTAAAATGTAGCAGATGAGGCCATAAGGGTCAAATGGATCACACTTATATAAACCAGTTTGAAAAGTCCCTGAATCGGACGCGAAATTGCTCACGTGGTATTCAACCAGGTTTCGAGTAAGTTGGGGAAAACTATAGGAAAGGAGAAAAACTGCGAACAAAATCTATAAGTCGCCATCATCATTGTCAACTGTAATAACCGCGTACTTGCCGTACAGTGGTTGTACCTGCCACAGTTTCGTTCAGCGATGATTTGGGGAGGTGTGGTAGATAGTCGCGCATTGGAGGCGAGAGCTGATAAATTAGTGCGTAAATGCAGCACTGTCAGTGAACTGTTGAGTGGGGGGTTGAGAAGGGAGCTATCCAAGCAATAGCTTGGATGTACGAGCGTCACTGAGGACGCGACTGAGCCATGTCCGACAATGTCTCTAACCATTGATGTGGCCCGTCTCGAGGTCCCCATCCAGGAAGACGGCAATGACTAGCGCAGCCGAGTTTGCTGGTAATGGCTTTCATACCTCGCTGTCAAGTCATTGTTTGACTGCCCCTGGCTCTTTTCCACCTTCACGTGGTTGTGCGAAAACAGCCCTTCGAAGAATTCGGTCGACCAACCTACACAGCAAAAGGCCAAGCCAGCGCAACCTATGCAGTGTGATCAGTTCAGCTATCGAGGGTGAGTTATTTCTCCCGAATATCATTCGATGTACTTCAGCATTGCTGATCCGATCTTCCCACCAGATTCGGGCAATGCTCCGAAGGCATCGACAGCCTATAAGTGTACATGAACGATTCAGACTACACCGAAAGAAGACATAATTCAACATGTGAACAATGCCGTGCATGGCTGGGAGACAGTGTGGTGACAGTTCTCAGTGCAAATCGTGGCTGAAAATTACCAGAGAACAAATGAACCCAATCCTTTAAACAGAGGTAACTGCTAATAGTAAACCATTCGCTATTTCAAGGCTGTCGGTGTTCGGTCATGACTATCAGACAAACAGCATCCGATAAGGGGAACCTAGGATCCCACATGGAGTACGACATTCAACAATCAGCTTATACGTAGTCACGACACGAGAATTTGAGTACTTATCAAGGTCACCAGAATGCTAAACAGAGTGATCCCAAGGGACCTACTGAAAAGATTAAGAGAGTAAATGGTATAGCTGAAGGAAACCGCAGAAAAGAAGCAATTCGGCAGAGGACTGGACCGTACTTTGCCTCGTGACGGATTGTGTACCTATAGAACTCGAAGTGCCAGAAGGGCGTCTGGCGATCCCACCAGGCTGTTCAGCACTTGTGGCTGGGAAAAGGGTTCCCCTCTTGCTAAATTTGCAGACATAACAGATAGATAGTAGATGGGCCAGTGACGAGTCAGACTTTGTTCACCACGTTCCAAAGACACTGCATTTTCATGACTTACAGTAAATGCTCTCTCTAGGGCAATCCTCACAGGCGATCTATTTTGCACAGTAAAGCAATAGTTCATCTGTAACATCCTTCCGGTACATAGCTGCCGTGCCACTAAAAGGAAGCACAAAGGGCTGAGATATTTTCAGGTTGCCCAAGCCTAGACAGGAGCAGTTGAGATGTGGGGTTCGAACCACAGACCTTTCGGCCAGTAAGTTGGCGACTTAGCCACTGAGCCATCTGACGCTGTTACAGCGACGGGTTGCAACTGCTCAAAATGAGTCTGTTTAAACATTTACTGTTGTTTGGACGCCACAACGAAGATGGAGCGCCAGTCACCATTTTGTGCGCTTGGTTGAAAACGCTGCAGGTCATAGTTTCGAACCAACGGTAATTGCGCTTTTGAACCTGGGCCGCATGTCTGAGTCTTGAAGCGGGGACCTCAAAAGATTCGTCAGGGGTTATGCATTCTTCCTGCTTTGTTCTCTATATCTCAGTAGGGCTTTGTTGGACCGGACTAGCCGATGCTCAAGATAGCTCATTGGTTAAGACGCACTCCAATGTTACATGCTCGAAGTTCGAATCACGCTGAGATTTTCTGAATGCTTCTGTCTGGGCCCGGGAAACCCTGCCTTCGTGCTTACTTCAGGATGCACATCCAATATCCACCTAAAGAGTACCATAGCTGAGTAATCTGACTCAACACGATAATGGTAGTGTGTCAAAGAATAATCAGAGTTAGACTTTTGCACGGTAACGCTGCAAAGATGACACTCCGAAAATTTAAACAGGCGGAAGAGCAGCTCTGTGGATGCGCTTTTCCAAGACATCGATCGATGGTCTTCGATTATTGAAGGATCATGAGGCGTGACCTTGTCAACATTCACATAAGTAAGCCGCACCACGGAGGCGCAGCAGAGATGGATCTAAACGGTCAACAACACCCCGACCTGTGCAAAGACTAGATGAACTCCTAAAAGGAACGTTAATTTGAATCAGTCTTAGGTGACTGTCATGTAGAAGTATGTCAATTGCCTCTTCTGAATAGCCCCTGCAGGGAATATTCAAAAAAACTTGCCAGAGGATGCTCACCGAGCGAGAGATAGCTCAGTGGTTAGGATCCCAACTTACTCCGTGGTTCGAGCCCAACCTCAGCATCTCGACTGCTACTGTCTAGGCTTGGGGAAACTGGCAGTATCTCAGTTCTCATGCTTACCTCTGGTGGCATGGCAGCTAGCCACCGAAATGGCATTACAACTGAACGATCAATGTAGATGGGATAGATGTGTGACCCTATGATTAGCGGCTTCTGGACCATGCGTCCACCCACCAGTTTGTACAGTTAGCCAATTCAAATGCGGGGTTTGTTGAACACCTACCTGCCTACCTCGAGAGTGATTATACTGACTAGTTTTCACCCAAGAAAACTACCGTTTCATTCCTATTATGGTTTATCAGCTGTTCATATCCGCAGTCAAAGACTTGAAATCCGAGTGTGCTACCATCATCATCATCATCGACAGCATGACATCAGTGTTCAACACCGATGCTTCACTGCCGTACAACCATGATTTATTTGAAAGCCTTATTGTGAAGAAAAGAGTAAAGGTAGATGGGGAAGGGACTTAGTGCTAGCTTACCACAATCACTTCGAGGTGCCTATACCTCCAAACACTCACCCAGGCGATCTGGATAGAAACTGACAACAAGAACGCCACTGACATCGGTCGGCAGCCATATCTTGTAGTGTCTCCAACCAGGTACAATGAGGATCACGCGGTCCTCATCCTGGGAGGCTACCACTATTATACCACTATTATACTTGCGCAAGTTATTTTTTGAAAACCCTTGACAGCCCACGACCAGTTTCGCCTTTCTTGAGGCTTATCAGGTGGGCGCCGTCCCCGAATTTCACTCAATTTCATGCTCTGCTTGAACCAAAATTGTCTCAAAAAACTCGCCAAATACACTCACATGCGTACCAATTTGGTTCTAACCATAGAATCAACTTAATCCCACTGAAATATAACGTTTACGATATTCTTCCGCTCAATGTTGTGCACAAAGCTGTACATTGATTATAACTGAGATTCAGCTGAGTCACCCGTTAAAACCAAATGGGTGCGCAAATAAGTGTACTTCAAAAACTGCGTCCAATCTGAGTCCAACTAGGACATAAGGTTGGAGGGAGATGCCAATGCTTTTAGGCGGTACATTTGGTTCACTTGTTTCAACAAAAGTCAAAAGCTATCACCTTCTCGTAGTGGCCGGGCTTCTGTGTTGCAACGATCCTGCGGACTACACTGCCTGGAACTCAGTTCTCAAAGGTTCATCCGTGCCAGGAATGTCAAAGGTGAACAGCATAACGAAGAACAGTGAGTCCCCGTACTGCAAGTATACGTATTACGAGGCGGCCTGTCCTCTGCGATAAGAGTGTGAAGGCAGTAAGGTGTTTCTCCCAAGCGACCAGCGTGTCTATATTTATGGAAGCAGCGATGTTGCTTTCCTCCGAGGAAGGACGGATTAGAAAAGGTCGGCCCCAAAAAACGAACACTCCGATCGCCCAACGGTTGACCGTGAGCGGTGGTGCGTTATTCAACATGGTCAAACTAGTTTTGAAACCAAAGAGTCCGGTGCTGTTCAAAAGGCACCTGCTATGCGCAGCTGCACTTGGAGTAAGACATTAATACCTTACTCCCTATATCCTCAGACCAAGCGGGTGCCTTGCAGCCAAGTGGATCGGAATATTGAGTTATCGGCTCCGGGAAGGGTCCCCCCAGAAAACCCTAACAAACGCTGTCTCGCGGTTCAGACTCTTGAGGCAAAGGGGAAGGGTCCATGAACAAAACCCTACATCCTCCCACTGCCTTGTGGATCAGACTTTTGAGTCAGGCTCAAGGTGGGGTACCTCACCTAAACGCCCTTCTTCGGCCTGAGCAACCGGGAATCGGCACTTTCCCTTGCAGCTCTTCGCTCACCAGCCTTATCCTACACTTCCTTCCCACCCAGCATACAATGCAGGGCAATCAACTCATCTGCCAATCCCCTAGCCATTATTCCGTCTCAAAACGTTAACCAGAAAAACAAACCAAAATAATCACCTACTAATCTCAAAGGATCTGATCCAAGTCGCCTTTAATGCCGGTACTCTCTGTAAAATTGCGCAACAGGCAGCCCTTGTTTAAACCTTGCTTGCTCTCTCTCTCTCTCTCTCTCTGTCGATGTAAGCTGTGTCTCCGAAACACATACAAAACCCCACTTCGGTCATGCTCCTCAAGCCGCTTAGGACGAGCCCAGATGTTCCACACTCCGCTCTTCTGGCATCCGGTGATCTTGACGCAACGGCTCGTGGTATCTACGGGGGGGCAGTTGCACTCAGCCCCAAGGATGAAAGCGCTTTGCCGGATTGGATCCCAGTAAACAGTCGCCTTTGCGCTGTGCGGTTGTCCGGCTAAATTAACATTGACGCAGGTCGATGCGGTAAACGGACTCAATCAGACCATGTGGCTATCGGTTACCGATGGAGAGCCTTAGTTAAGGGTTGCTATTCCCTTTGGGGTACGCAAATTGACTCTGATCACGCCATCGTGCGGGCCCGCTTAGCACTTCGCTTTCCGCCAGCACCGCGCGTGTCGAAAGAGAGCAGTTCCGTTCGTCAACATTGACAAGTTTCAGTAACTGAAGTGCATCGAGCTAATCTGGCTAAAAGCTACTAGAAACGCAAAGTCATGTGGACGATGAAGAATGCTTGGAGGATGAATGGAGGCGAGTTAAAGAATCAATGCTCTCAGTTTTTAGGACTTTTTGGCCAGCCCATCTGACTCGACTGAATGAACACTAGATATCGTCGAGATCGGCAGACCTTATTTTTGCCAGAAACGCCATACCAGCAACTAGCGGCTATGATAGCGCACGCAGATCCCAAAAACAATGGATATCAAGAGCTTGAAGAATGGGAGAACGATGGTGGACTTTGAAGGCCCAGGAGATGGAGAAAGCTTTCGCTGCATGCAACGGAAGCGCCCAGTTTCAACTGATTTGATCAACGGTCAAAAGAAGCCAGGTGTCGGTGAAACAATATGCGAGAAAGACGGAAAGGCAGTTCACTTTTTAATCGTCGACTGAAGCGATGAGCTGATCACTTCAAAAAACAGTCCGAAAGGTCTCATTCAACACAACCACTAGAAGCACCCAGCGGACCCGAATGGGACATCGACACCAACCTATCAGCAAGAGAAATTAGGCGTGAGACATAAATCATCCAAATCAACTGGCGTGGATGGTCTGTACAGAGACAGATTCGTAAAAATCTGGCTGGTTTTCACCTTGGCAGAGAATGTGCCAACCATATTTTTACCTTGAGAACAATTCTCGAACAGCTCCACTGTTTTACACGTCCCACGTTGGTTATTTTTGTGAATTTGAAAGCTGGCCTTGATTATGTCGATCGTCAGAAACTGGGGCGGTATCTGGCAACCAAAGGAGTACATTTCATATTTATATTCCTTATGAAGGCAGTGTATGAGAACTCCTGTGGATGAGTACGACTGTACGGCAAACTTTCACCTGAGTTCACCACGTCCAGTGGTGTAAAACAAGGCTGTACCCTCTCACATTTCATCTTCAACTTTGTCAATAATGTGCTGCTCAAAATTTCTTTGTCTGCCTCAGAAACCTTGCGGGTCGGAATGCTCCCGGGATTTCCACCCACAGACACGGACGATATTGCTCTCCTTAGTTCAGTTCCTGTAGAAATGCAAGCGATTCTAAATAACCTAATCCAACCGCAAGGTTGAGCATACGCACCTCGTGATTGCAGTCGAGCCTATCGACGTGGTAGATAAATTTGTTTACCTGGGAAGCTGTATAATTTCCGTTGGAGTGGATGGAGATGAGATCATTTCTCGAATCGGAAAGGCCAGGGAAGCTTTCTCCAACCCACCACACCTATGGCAGCGAAAAGACATCAGTTTATCTGTCAAGGTCAGAGTTTGTACTGCGGTGGTGCGGTCCATGCTGCTCTATGGATCAGAAACGTGGCCTCTAGGCGCAGAGGACATACAAAAGATGTCAGAGTCTGACCACCAGTGTCTTCAAAGCACTGGTCTGATCTGGTACGACAATCGGATTAGTGGTGCTGAGGTACGTCGGATCCTAAGAAGGAATTCTCCCGCGATCGATGAATCACTCACGCTTCATGGGTTACTCACGCCGTTTAGGACATATAGTTCATGTGCCAGAAGACCGTCTGCCTTAGCAATGTTGTGGAATGTAGGTAGCTCGGGTGCGCTGCATGGTTGTTGGTCTGTTCGCCGAGCTTGGCAGTTGGATTGCAAACGTTTCATCACTAATTGAGGTGACACCGTCAGTGCAGTGCACCCAATCCTTCACTGACGGTGTCACCTCGATTAATGAGGATACGTTAGCAATCCAACTGCGAAGATCGGTGAACAGACCAACAACCAAAGACCGTTTGCCTCACGTAGCTCTTTTCGCCCAGCCCTGTGCTGAATAGAAGCGACCGAGAGGTGGACAGCGTACAACCTGGCAGCGAAGAACAAAAATACTAACCATTAAGATTAGTCGGATCAACAACTGCCACCTCTTTGGATGTGGACCTCGGGACTCAACTCACCAATGGCTAATGACTGTGGCGGAAATGACGCAGTCGGTGGCGTTCGTGTATCAAAGCTATCACCTTCAATGCGTAGCTACTCAAAGCCTGAACTAACTGAACACGCGATCGGCTTCAATAGGTGGTCTTATTTCTCACAATCTCCGTCACTAAGGTGATCCAGCTGGAACCAATGAGTCTATGGTACACGACTTAAAGCTGATAAATTGAATTGAGTCGTTTCAACAGAAATCTGCTGATTATAACAGAGACTCCAAACGATAAGGTACAAGTCAGTTGTCCTCAATGAACTGGCCTTAAACAGCCCAGGAATGTTTTGGCTACTTAATCTTCATCCTTACCAGAATTGCCGTAACAAGATAGGGACACCGCCCGGACGGGTGATCTGAACAAAAAAGCAGTTTTACCTACTGCGAAACAATTCAGTAGTAAAAAGGTGAGGAATTTTCGGCGACTCACCTCAGTAAATCCTCCATAGACACTAGTGTAAAATTCATCCTCTTGTTCGTCATTCAGTAGTTGGGCCATCTTGGCCCCTGCGTTCGGCCTGCGTTCTCGATCCACACATATTGGCATGTTTTTGGAGTTGTCGCTGTGAAGAGAGAGAAACGAGTATGCAATTCAATCTGCATGATCACGGAATGAGTTCCTATCTGCGTGACTTCTATTCCCGATCATTCCTTCTGGTCTCGTAGATTAAAGAAGATAGACATGATAAACTTAGACAAACCTGTTCAAGAACGAGTCGGTGCTTCAAGCGGCGGATTCATATTAGGAATACATAATACCAACCAATCCAACGACCGTAGCCTGTCAGGTAACGCAAGTAACGGGTAAAGAATGTGAACCAAGTTGCTACTCCATAGAGTCGAGAAGTTTTGGATTACGCTTGCTTCCATGGGTATTGTTACCAACGCCTTATGTAAGTCTAGAAAGTAAGACGAACATGACGTTATTGTCATTTGGTCCAACAGCTCAGGGTTAGGGGCCTTTTTTTACCAGCGGGTGCAAGTTGGTCAATCGCATTCGACGTTCACTTATTAATCCCTGACGTGACGGTGTAAGTTAAGTGTATATGTCCGACACCAACGCCGTACCCCCCTCAATTTACTTACGGAGGATATCGGTTGAGAAAATGAATGCAATATCACTATCGCCCTATGCTCATCGCGATTAGCAATCGAAGGCTGGAATTTTTTAAGTTGACCTAATGTTAGGTCGTAGACAGGCCAACCGCGATAATTCATAAGTGTTCTGTTTTCCGGGGACCCAACAGCGCAGGCGATATGCAAAACCACGAGCATGGCGAAGAATGGTGCTTCACTCAAGAACTAATCGAAACAAATGGAAGTCAGTCTTTCATCAAGTGGGATGCTGCAGAGCTTCGTCATTAAAAAAGCGCTTCCTTCGTATTTTGCTGAAACCAAAGATATGGGAGCTGAGTTCCGTAATTTCTCCAGGAGGTTCGGACAGCTAAGACGCTTCCGCAACCGTTTCAAGTAGAACAACTAACCAATGTAACACTGCGAGTTTAACCCATCTTGAGTGGGTTTTTAATTAAGGAGCCTCTGGATTGAGCCAGGGTATCTCTGACGATGGTTATGATTGGGAATGTGAAGGGGATGTGAAACAGGCCTCCAGGAAGTTGATGGGGCTTTTACCACCAACCCAAGTAGCTGAGTGGGTAAGTAACTGCAACACTAGAGGGTAAGCCGGTGCAGCCCATGCTTGTTGGTGGGCTTGTAACAACACTGTACCTCCAACGACAGCGCAGAAGGGTCATTTCAGCCTACAGTAGAGTGGATTGCGATCTCATCCACGTACGGCGCCGGGTTTACAAGTGAAGCTGAAACGGAGTCTCCTTGGGATAGGAAGTGCTTGTGATATCCAATCGAGAATACGGAGTTTAGAAGAAGTGACGCGAAACCAGATTAAAAGACTCTTAGAGATCACCAATTGATGTTCAGGGGGCATAAGTCACCAAATATTATGAATTTGGAGTTAGGATATAGGAAGGTAGGTCAAGGCAGAAAGGAACAAGTTGTTCTCGGGAGTGGATGAGGGGGGACAGTAGATGGGACTAACTACTATCCGGTCACTACTAAGTAATTTTAGGGGAGCAGACAGGTTTCACCTGCAAAAATATTAGCGCCTAGGAAATGAGGATCTTACCGTGTGCACAGATGCGGACACCAACTGCGTATGAGGTTGGGATGGTAGTATTTGGTTGGCCGGTAGGGTAAGTAATCCAGTGGTAGGTGGTATTCAGGGGGCTTAGGCAACTGGGTAAATGGCTCGTGAGAAGCAACGGTGAGTGGATGCCAATACGTGTATTCAGAGGGGTTGATCTCAACCTAAAGCTGTCACCTTGTCGTGGTGGTCAGGCTTCTGTGCTGCAATAATCCTGCAAGCCATATTGGCTGGAAATCAGGTCCTAAAAGTTCAACCATACCNCAGGGGGCATAAGTCACCAAATATTATGAATTTGGAGTTAGGATATAGGAAGGTAGGTCAAGGCAGAAAGGAACAAGTTGTTCTCGGGAGTGGATGAGGGGGGACAGTAGATGGGACTAACTACTATCCGGTCACTACTAAGTAATTTTAGGGGAGCAGACAGGTTTCACCTGCAAAAATATTAGCGCCTAGGAAATGAGGATCTTACCGTGTGCACAGATGCGGACACCAACTGCGTATGAGGTTGGGATGGTGCGTAGTATTTGGCCGGCAGGGTAAGTAATCCAGTGGTAGGTGGTATTCAGGGGGCTTAGGCAACTGGGTAAATGGCTCGTGAGAAGCAACGGTGAGTGGATGCCAATACGTGTATTCAGAGGGGTTGATCTCAACCTAAAGCTGTTCAATTTACTTACGGAGGATATCGGTTGAGAAAATGAATGCAATATCACTATCGCCCTATGCTCATCGCGATTAGCAATCGAAGGCTGGAATTTTTTAAGGTGACCTAATGTTAGGTCGTAGACAGGCCAACCGCGATAATTCATAAGTGTTCTGTTTTCCGGGGACCCAACAGCGCAGGCGATATGCAAAACCACGAGCATGGCGAAGAATGGTGCTTCACTCAAGAACTAATCGAAACAAATGGAAGTCAGTCTTTCATCAAGTGGGATGCTGCAGAGCTTCGTCATTAAAAAAGCGCTTCCTTCGTATTTTGCTGAAACCAAAGATATGGGAGCTGAGTTCCGTAATTTCTCCAGGAGGTTCGGACAGCTAAGACGCTTCCGCAACCGTTTCAAGTAGAACAACTAACCAATGTAACACTGCGAGTTTAACCCATCTTGAGTGGGTTTTTAATTAAGGAGCCTCTGGATTGAGCCAGGGTATCTCTGACGATGGTTATGATTGGGAATGTGAAGGGGATGTGAAACAGGCCTCCAGGAAGTTGGTGGGGCTTTTACCACCAACCCAAGTAGCTGAGTGGGTAAGTAACTGCAACACTAGAGGGTAAGCCGGTGCAGCCCATGCTTGTTGGTGGGCTTGTAACAACACTGTACCTCCAACGACAGCGCAGAAGGGTCATTTCAGCCTACAGTAGAGTGGATTGCGATCTCATCCACGTACGGCGCCGGGTTTACAAGTGAAGCTGAAACGGAGTCTCCTTGGGATAGGAAGTGCTTGTGATATCCAATCGAGAATACGGAGTTTAGAAGAAGTGACGCGAAACCAGATTAAAAGACTCTTAGAGATCACCAATTGATGTTCAGGGGGCATAAGTCACCAAATATTATGAATTTGGAGTTAGGATATAGGAAGGTAGGTCAAGGCAGAAAGGAACAAGTTGTTCTCGGGAGTGGATGAGGGGGGACAGTAGATGGGACTAACTACTATCCGGTCACTACTAAGTAATTTTAGGGGAGCAGACAGGTTTCACCTGCAAAAATATTAGCGCCTAGGAAATGAGGATCTTACCGTGTGCACAGATGCGGACACCAACTGCGTATGAGGTTGGGATGGTGCGTAGTATTTGGCCGGCAGGGTAAGTAATCCAGTGGTAGGTGGTATTCAGGGGGCTTAGGCAACTGGGTAAATGGCTCGTGAGAAGCAACGGTGAGTGGATGCCAATACGTGTATTCAGAGGGGTTGATCTCAACCTAAAGCTGTCACCTTGTCGTGGTGGTCAGGCTTCTGTGCTGCAATAATCCTGCAAGCCATATTGGCTGGAACTCAGTTCCTAAAAGTTCAACCATACCATGAAGGCCAGCGGTTATCAGCCTGACGAAGAACATCGAGTTTCCCGTACTGTGAGAAGTTGTATTAGCAGGCGGTCTGGAGGTGAAGACATACTGCCCTGTGTGATAGGAGTGTGAAGCCAGTAAAGCGTTTCCCACAGGTGGCCAGCAAGTTCATATTTATGGAAGCTGGAACCAATGTGTCCATGGTGCACATTGATTGTATTGGAAGGATTGACGGATATAAGTGGAGATAGGAGGTATTTCTTCGAAGACAGGCAGAGCTCTTTCGCGGAATAACGATTGACGATCGTGTTTCCGAATCTGTTTCGTTTATTAAGCCAGGAACCTAGGGATTACGTGCCATAGTCAGTTCATCGACTTTAATGTAGAAGTGGACACAGATTCTGGTGCAGCAGAGGTGGGTCCTGGAACTAAAGTTGCCAGACTGATGGGCGTCAGGGGCCCCAGATGTGAATGGTCCTTTAGATTTGCGACGAGCAGGTCAATTCATTTGGAAAGTGTGGTCAGTGGTCACCGTATTGCGGTAGCTTTTAAGCTGTCAAGATGAGAGATTCGGTGGACTTGACGAAAGCAGAGTCCAGTGGTAAGGCTGTTGCGGGAAAGGAATTGTATTGGAAGGATTAACGGATATAAGTGAAGATGGGAGGTATTTCTTCGAAGACAGGCAGAGCTCTTTCGCGGAATAACGATTGACGATCGTGTTTCCGAATCTGTTTCGTTTATTAAGCCAGGAACCTAGGGATTACGTGCCATAGTCAGTTCATCGACTTTAATGTAGAAGTGGACACAGATTCTGATGCAGCAGAGGTGGGTCCTGGAACTAAAGTTGCCAGACTGATGGGCGTCAGGGGCCCCAGATGTGAATGGTCCTTTAGATTTGCGACGAGCAGGTCAATTCATTTGGAAAGTGTGGTCAGTGGTCACCGTATTGCGGTAGCTTTTAAGCTGTCAAGATGAGAGATTCGGTGGACTTGACGAAAGCAGAGTCCAGTGGTAAGTTGCTTGCGGGAAAGGAAGACAGACCGACACCCACTTGGGGGGCGACTGATCTGAAATGGAGTGCTTTAGGGTTTGGTCTCTCGAAGAAAGGAGTCTGAAATAATAGAAATCTGAAGAGATGGCGCAGTGAAATCGGAGAATAAGGTGATATCCTGCGGCTGAGGCAACTGTGGCGAGCGATGAACTGTTGACAGACGGACGTTCCCAGAAGAACCAGAGCTCGAGACAGCTCGGTGGTTAGGGCGCGAACTTATTGACTGGAAGTCCGCGACTCCAACCAACCACAGGATCGCAACTGTCTCTGTCTAGACTTGGGTGACGTGGCGGCTCTCATCCATTGTAAAGCCAGGGTGTTACAGCGGAAGACTAGGTCCCTCGCTGATGTGTTACCCATTTTTGCTTGTTTCTTCATGCCCTCGATTCACACCACTCCAAAAACGCATTCCAAATCAATGTCTATGTCTAAAACTATCGATGAATCAAAAAGCCGTTCAGCTGTAACCCTCTTTCGGGGCCCAGATGCCATGCCACCCGAAGGGAGCATGAGGTCTGGGATACTGCCAGGCTGCGCAAGCCTAGACAGGGAAAGTCGAGAGGCAGAGGTCGGGCTCAAACCACGCGAGATCCAAAGCTCTCTTCAGAAACTCACACTGAATCCCTTGAGCTCCTCCTGAGCGATTTCTAGTGTTAGCAGCCTGGAAGAGTATTTTACCGATTTCAATGACGAGCTGAAGGTACTGGAGAAGATGAGAACATAAGCACCGATGTATCCAACGCCCCTAACCCAAATGGATGTAGTACCTTTTACCATAATCACAAAATCATCAACGGCATCATGACATCACTGTTCGACACCGATGCTTCGCTGCCCTACAACCATGATTTATTTGAAACCCATATTGTGAAGAAAGGAATAAAGGTGGATGAGGAAGGGACTTAGTGCTAGCTTACTACAATCACCCCGACGTGCCTAAACCTCCAGACACACACACTGGATAGAAAGTGACATCGGTTGACAGTCATATCTTACAGCATCTCAACCAGGCGCCATGGGACTCACGCGATCGTCACCCTGGAAACCAAGTAGCACAGACGGCACTCAAACGTTTCGTAATCTCTTTCATAACCTTTTGCCGGGTCAAGTTTGGTCATCCCTCTGCTCCCACTTATCAAACACCTGAAGACGTCTCAGTTCCGCTGCTCGAACACGCCAAGTCTCACAGCCATACAACAGAACAGCCCGCACTGTAGCCTGATACAGACATCCCTTGAGATTCCGGGATATACGGTTTTCACGCCAAAGGTGTCTCAAACTAGCAAGCGCGACCCGCGCCTTGGTGATTCGTGCGTTGAACTCATCCGTCACACTACAATCAGAGATAAAACAGCTTCCAAGGTACGTAAAACGCTCCACAACTTGTAGTGCCTCTCCCTGGATTGTAAGTGGCGTATTCAATGGCTGCACGTCCATGAGCATGACCTTAAACTTTTTGGCTACAAAGTGACTTCGGTCAGTTTATCCAAAAACACCTGCGCTTTTTTCCTCCTCTTCAAAGACGAGAGCGATGTCGTCTACATATTCCAGATCGACAACGTTTTCGTCACATGCAATTTGAACCTTTCAAAGTTCGTTTCATGATTTCCTCGATCACGAAGTTGAGCAGGAAAAAATCGTTCAGCTATAACACCCTTCCGGTGTCTAGCTGCCATGCTATCCGAAGGAAGCACGAGGGCTGGGATGCTGCCAGGTTGCCCAAGCCTAGACTGGCAAGGTCGAATGTTCCATAGCCTTGAATGACTTGACGACTCAAGCCACATGCTACCCGCCAAAAACTTGACCTCAAGCAGAGGAATGCGGAGAGTGGACATCTCTGGCAAACACCACTTTGTGTGCGGAGGCTTTTGGAGAGCTCATCGTATACTCTCGCACAACCAAAAGTCTGAGAATACAAAGAGCTTATTATGTTCACGAACTGCCGGGGTATTCCTTGACGTGCAAGTGTGCCAAGAAGAGCAGACAGTTCAACCGAGTCGAATGCGTTTTGAGAATCCAGTAATACTGGAATTGTGGCTTGCTTATACGTATGGCGTTGTTCTAGCACCTGACGGAGTGTGAAAATTTGGTCAACGCGACCCAGACAAGGCCGCAATCCCGCTTGCTACTCCTGAGTCAGTGTTCCGCGAGCAACCGTAAGGCGACAAAGCACCAATGACGCCACCAGTCTCGTTACGACCGGAGTCAAGCCGATCCCCGTGTGGCTACCACACTACGAGCCCCCTTTCCGAAACCGAACCGGTTCCATTCTTGTCAGATTCTATCCAAATCACTTGGATGGGTGCCAAGAAGAGACCTTACCGTGGTGTGACGGTTTGTGCACCTCAGAGACCCACTGAGCTATAATGAAGAGAGGCGTTCCCACGACACTCACAGAGTCTCTCATACTAGGTTGGTTAATGGTGATAGGTCTGACAAACAGTCTCCTGACTCTCCAGGTCGGGGTCGGAACATGGGACGGCTTGTTCCGCAGAAATAATAAGGCATTTACATTTCCCACCAAACATCGCTGTCTTGCGGTCAGGTTTTTTAGCCAAAGGTTTTGGTTGAGGACCCTAATCGTCCTCGTGTCTAGATGTGGGCGCTCTGACAGTATTCTAGCCCACGTAGAACAATGACACCTACATCGAACAACAAACTTATGCCACACCGGCTGGGTCACCTTACTCGCTGCATACAGCAGGGCAGGTAAGCGAAAACAGGCTGCTGCTGACGCTTCCCTTCTTCCCCTTAAACACACTTCTTCTCCCTCTCCCCACCCCATTAATAACTCTCTTCTTTTAGGCCCAGCACTTAGGACGGTTTCGCTTGCAACATCTACTCGTTACATAAGGACTACGCCCTCAAGTACCTGGTATCACAATACTTCTATCACCACTGGAAATCGGGACGAAACAGCGTCGGAACAAGACCTCGAAAGCCCAGCGAAACACGTCTGCATCATCACTGACAGCAACACCAGATGAAAAAACTGATACTGCACAAACAAACCAATTTATTTATGTAAAGCATCATGATGACGAAATAGCAATGAGGCAAGGCGAGCTGGGGCTAGCCTAACGAAAATTCTAGGTGTGTACACCACCAATACTGTCAGACAATCTAGATAGAAAAAAATCGGCGGCGAGATGGCTTACTGACATGAACGCCACTGACAGGACATCGCTCAGCATTTTCACTTTGCCACAGGGTGGATCACGAGGACTCCATCCTGCAGGGAAAACAGAACCAAAAGCCACCAAACTTTTCATATCCTCCATTCTATTCTGCCCAATCATATTCCATCCACATCCAGCTACAGCCACTCGGAATTAGGCACGGAAAACAGCACTTATCTCAGTAGGCGAGGCATGTGCAAAGATTTTACGTCCTGCAGTATGGCTTTGCACATTTCGAAGGACTGACAACAGTGAGCATCTTTGTTACTACTGTAGGTAAACACAAACGGTGCATGATATTCACACATTTACGGGGCACACTCTGCTGCAGAAGCGTATTGAGAAGAACTAACTGGTCGACAGGATCGAATGCACCCTTGAGGTTAAGGAACACCAAGATGGTGGGACACCCATAAGTATGCCGTTCCTTCAGTTTTTGACGGTGTGAAGATGTGGTCAAAGAGGCCCTTCCTGGCCGAAATCCTGTTTGCTGTTCTCGGATCCCGTCTTTACGTGCCTTTGCAAGACAAAGATAAGTGACAAACCGCCTAGTCACAACGCCGTTAAGCTAATTCCTCTACTATCAACTCGTTCCATTTACTTGGGAAGCTCTCGTTCTCAGATGAATGGAGATTATGTAGACAAGCAACGCCCAAGGTTTCACCTGCATCTTTGAACAGAGGGTGAGAGTTTGTCAGGAGTAGTACTGTGCTTAGATCTGGTTGCTTGCACCGTCATGCAAAAAGGTGCGCAAGCGGTCGTCCCACTCATACAGAAATCAGCCTTACGCAAGTAGATACGCCGCTAGTAGCATCGATAATACAACAGCGTCTAACACCGGCAGGTGAGACACAAATCCGAGAACAAAAAATAGGGCTCTGCCGGGTAGTGAATTCTTCAAATACTTGGACAGACCTTACACTGCACCGACCAACAATTGAGGCTTTATTCGACTTCATGGGAGTCCCTGAGTCCGTAAACAGGTCACTTCTACATTCTACTGACCACAGAAGAGTGCACTTGGAATTTTCAAACACTTCTATGTTCTCGCGTACTCACGACAAACTGTCCAGGAAGGTCCAGAAAAAATCACTTTCCTCTCCTTTTCTGTTCGACCTTTGTTGGCGATTTTACCATAGAATGCAAGCTCCAAAAGGCTCGGCTCTCCCTATTGAATCTACATCTAGGAAAGCGTTGATAAAATTGGGCTATGCGGGCTACATTACATTATTTGCCCCCCAAGGTCTACTCCAGATAGCATTTCGTCCCCACTTCCCGCCGAAACCTCAAGATGGACGGCCGGATGCGCCGTGATGGTCCGTAACAAAAGTCAATGTACGTATTATTAGTGCGCAAGCTTGTATCATTTATAGCATCAGAAACAAATTTCACTGAAGAAGTTACAGAGCCCCGTGTGTATCATCACTGTATCGTCAGCACCGGCATCATCGCCGTAGACTCCCATCAAACAGTATTGGGAACTAGTGCTCAACTAAGACACGAACAAGAAGAAAGAAGGTCCCGAGTAGGGAGTGAAAACGAAGAAACGAAGTGAGAACTTCTTGTAGATAGACCAGGTTCTGGAAAAACAGGTTCCACGGTTAGGTGCCTACATCTTACAGAGCAATCGAGATAAACACACATGAGCAATATAATAAGGCAAGACTTCATCAGTGGAATCGATCCAACGACATTTGTGTTAGGCGGAATGCCATTAGCGATGCCACCTTACCGCTCGCTGCAACGGCCGAATCGAGATAAACACGCATGAGCAATATAATAAGGCAAGACTTCATCAGTGGAATCGATCCAACGACATCTGTGTTAGGCGGAACGCCATTAGCGATGCCACCTTACCACTCGCTGCAACGGCCGAGAAGCCTATCCCGCACATGATTGGCCAAACTTATGGCCGCCTGTCTGTCAGACACTAAGGCGAGCTGTGATTGGCCGAAAGGCGGGACCAAAAAGCTAATTATGCCCCAGTGTTGGCCAAACGCCGGTTGCCAATGTTGCATTCAGGTGTCCATTTCTGAAGTGCTGTCGTGGCATACACTTCATATACGATTATCTGTACAAGTGTTTTTGACCCGGGTTTGGGCGTTGTGCACTTTTGGTGTTTGTTCTTGACGGGAAAGCTAGCTTGGGCGATTCAGATACGAAAACAAGCTAAGGAAATTACCGTCGTTAAAATTCGCGGAACCCATCCCACACAAACCCAGCACAACAACAGACAAGCGATGGCTAGACAGACCGAATGGGAGTTGACGGCATACTGTCCCCGAGCACGGGTTACATGCCATCCCCAGAAGAGCATTAAGCCATATGCAA